AGGCTCAACTTCTCATTAAAGGACACGGTGAAAAGTTTCTCCTCCAAGCATGTTAAAGCTCCTGCTCCTCTTGATGGAATACCACAGCAGTAATTAACATTAATGACATACCTAAGGAGAACCGCAGCCCAGAGCAGTGGGATAATTGCAGCAGAGAGCCAGTTTGTTACGGAGGCTACCCATCACTGTCAAGACGCGGTGTGCAGACCATACTTTGAGAGAGCTGGAGACAATCCAGGACCTGTGCAAAACTCCACAATCCTGACTCACCATCAAAGGCGCTGAGATTAATCAGAAACATTATTTGGAAACGGAGAGAGACGTTGTTCGTTTTGCTCTCCAAATTCTCTCAGTTCCCCCCCCCGCCCTTGCAGAAGTACCAGGCGGGTCTCTACATTTTCGGACACCATACGGGATGAATAACCCAACGCTGAAGATGCCGCATATGGATTATTTGCACACGTTGGTAGTGTCCCGCTGCATCCACCTGCTCAGCGAACATCAATCTCTCGCTCATCCCCAAAGCCAAGAGCCCACCTGCCTTTCCAAGCCCGGGAAATGCCAGAGAGACACCAGTCACAAGAGCTGTCTAGATGCCGCTCTATCAAATCCAGCCCACGCAGAATATCAAATAATTGATCTACCCAGTAGAAGCGTTGATTGGAATTGATACAAGGGAAAAGCATCATTATTATAAAGGTTGCAGAGCAGCAGAACAAATGACCTATCACTCAGTAGCATTTAAGACCAGCGTAGGTGATTAACTCTGAGGGACCCAAGTAGGATCCTACACTAGACTTGGCCACGTGCCACAGGAGATACCCTGCTCCCAGGGGTTTCTGTGCTACAAGGGAGAGAGAAAAACCACCCACAGCAGAGGAAGGGTCAAGTTAGAGTTGGTTCAGAGTTGGAAATAATACAAGGGAAAAGGAAAAGAAGAAAATGGGTATGTGCTCTATCACCAGATCGGATGTGAACTTTACGTCTGACTTCATCCAGGATATCCTCATCCGGATTTTGAAAAACAGTACCAAAAAACAACCTCAGTGTCAACAAAGCCAAAGGCACGGAAGACAACCATCATAAGGCTTTGGATAAACAGCCTCTTCCACCAGAAGGCCTAACCCTGCCTGCATCCACACCTCGAATGCAATTGCAACAGTGCAGAATAAGGAGACTTCATTGAAAATTTACCTAAACTAAAGCTGCCTTGAGCTGGAGGAGCCTCCTCCCAGCCCAAACCTCGCCTAGGTACACCACGAAACTGCACGTCCTCTCCAGCAGCTGCTTCACGTTAGCCCTTGGGAGAGCTCAGCGTTTCCCCCAGGGCTCAGCGGTGTCAGGTCACGCTGCTTTAATTCACCCTCGATATGCTCCGATCCTCCCTTCCCAGCTGCTTGCTGGAGGCTATTCTCTGAAAGCCATGGAGTTCATGAATTTGGCCAGACACCAGAGTGGCAAAAGGAACCACAACTGCGAAGCCGATGAAGTCTCAGGCTTTGGATCCCTTCGGCATTGGATCTAAGGATGAAGGTCACCCAACCACTGCTTTGGGGAAGGACACCCCAAGGCAGGTCTTGCCTCCAGAGGGCTATTTCATACGCACCCTTCCAAGGGTTAACACAAGCTCTCGAGCTCTCTCTTAACTAGCTTGACTTTTGTTCCCCAACTAATGTATTTTTAAGACCTTCCATTCAGAGTTTGGGGTTTTTTTTCTGACTTCTTGCTGATGAATAATCATTAACTATCCATGAAAGCTCTAAATGGCCCGTGGAATTCATGAGGTATTAAATGGGCATTATATTATCCACCACTCTAAATGTTTTGTTTCCGTTTCAAGACCATTCATGAGATGTTTATGGATTGTGGATTTATGGAAGCCAGGGGATCTTTTTAGGAGTAATGTTCCGTACCCCAGAGTTACGGTCAACAGCTGGAGGCTCCGTGCAGGAAAAGCTGAGGCTGTAAGCTCAAACAATTTAACCCCTGCTTCAGAAGGTCTTGGCTTACAAAAACGATGGATCAAACCCTAGCAATAAGCCCAGAAATACAAAATGCCAGCAAACGTATGAGCTGTCATCCAGAGTCAAGTGGCACGTGGTGGCCTTGCTCCAGAGGGGACCTGGTCGCTGCTACCGCTCTCCCAGATATATGGTGGTGGTTTACTTTTGTGCCTGCACCGAGATGGAAAAATCCATCGGGGCAGTCCTGGAGCACGCCGACAGCTTCCCTCCATCAATACTGACCCACAGCTCACGGGGGAGAGAGCTTTTTGCTTTTGCCACGGGCATCCTCGGCTCCCCAGAGCCCATTTCACCCCATCCTGTGTTGGGCCACCCCAGGTGAGGAGATAAATCAGCCTGAAGGAAACCAGTCTCCCTCTTGGGAGGGCTTCAGATGGGTCCCACCAGAAAGCAGGCTGCAAAGAGGCAGCGTGGGGGTAAATCTAGACCCAAAATCACCCCAGGAGATCCCACCCAGCACTGGGGGTCCCCACCAGTGTCCCCAGACTATCAGCTCTCCAGGTCTAGCGCCTGGCCATGCTGGGACACGATACAGGGAACAGAAAGCCACCATCCAAAGCAAACCGAGAGCCCCCTCCCGGCACAGCTAAAACCAGAAGGGGTTGATCAGAGAAGGCTTGAAACAGTTTTTCAGGGATGAGCTCCATCTCACGTCCGAGGTCGGGAGGAAAAACCTCCCTCTTGCAGAAAGCACGGAGGACTCAGACACCGCAGAAGTTACAACACTAAAAAGAAAACAAACAACCCTATTCTACGATACACGCGCACTGCATGGACGCTGCCATGAATTAAGAATTAGCTGATAACGGCCCCAAAAAGCCACTTTTTCTCCGCCAGGTAAAGCGCTAGCCACCACATCCAGGCTAATAAACAGCTAAAACTTCAGCACGCCTCTGCTGGAGAAAAGCGGGGGGAAAAAAGAAGCTGCCTCTTTAATGCACTAATTACTATCCCGAAACACTAATGGGATTAGCAAGCAGGATTTAGCGGTTGCCTCCTGAAAAATCATTAAGTGCCATTAGAGGAAATTAACCTCCCTGCTTCTCCGAGCGGTTTTCGGGAGCCTGGGTCCTTCCGTGGCGACACCATGAACCCCCCGGTAGGACGCTAGCACAACCGACCCCAGTTAATAATGGCGCTCTCTTTCCTCTATTAATTCACAAACCGTGAATTAACGTTGCATGACCTACGGTGGCCCGGCACCGCCGGGACGGGCAGCATCAGAGATGCTGGGCAGACGGGATGCGGTCAGGCAGGGACTGATGGACAGGAGAGACCGATGGAGGAAGAGGGGACCTGGCCACAGTCGGGCAAACCCTGTTTACGGTTTTCCTTCTCCGCACCCTGCCCTGCTCTTTCCCCTTGCAGGAAAGTCGAGGCATCCCATCCCCTCCTGGCTCGGGAAATCACCGGCCAAAGGGTTTGCTGGAATAAGGACCAGACATCCAAACCTCACCCCGGATCTACGTCAGGGTGACTCGGGGCGCTCGACGACCGCAGTGGGGATCAAATGGTTTTGGAGGAACCGAAGGCACGCTCTGCCCTGGGTGAGACCCGGTGCGCCAGCGAAGGGTAGAGCTTGGATTGGGTGCTGAAATGCGAATAAAAGAGCGAGAGGAGACAGGCTGCTCGCTAAGGCTCTGCGCCGGCAAACGCGGTGATGCTCGCTGGGGACGGACCAAAATATATCCGACTTGCCGGTGCTTAAGTACGAGGAGGGGCGGCCTTGCAGGAGGCATCGTCAAGCTGAAAGAAATTAATTTCTGAAAGCTAAAAGCCTTTATGGACCGAAAGTTTCCAGCCGGGGTGGGGGAAGAAGGATGACCACCCTCATTTCATGTAACGACCACAGCCTTGGGGACGCCATGGGGAAACAAGTCACACCGTGATGCTGCGGCCGCTGGATGTATCTGCTGCCCCAAAGCCCCTCCGGTCTTCTGCCCCTGCCCGAACCGGGGGAGGTGAGGGTCTGGCAGCGGCAGCACCATCCCGCAAAGGCGGCGGATTTTAACCCTTCACCTGCCCCAACCGGAGCTGTTTGAGCATCACGGCCGCCTCCGGCACCGGGCAGGAGGGTCTGCACCGCCGGGTCAGGGTACCCAGGCTTTCCCCTGTCCCCACCACATCCCTCAGGGGACTCTGTCCGGCCTTCTACCATGGCCTTATATTCTAAGAACCCCAAATTTGAGGAAAAACAATGCAGTTTGGCCTGGGGCTCCTGTTTTGGGAGGCCAGCGGGGACCAGCCGTGCCCCATCCCCACGCATCCTCGGGAGAGAGGAGATGATGCCCCGAGGTGGCCACCGGTCCCCTCTGCCACCCCACGCCGAGGCAGCAGGAGGGTTTTTCTAAGCACGACCCCCAAAAGGGCCCAAAGGAGATGGTGAGGGAGCGCGTCGGTGCCGGGGAACCCTTTCCCTGCACTGCAGCAGCCTCTGCCGGCACCGGAGCCGCAGAGCAAGAGCGGTGGGAAGGAGCTGCGGACTGAAAAGCCTTCTGCAAACACCAGCAGGGACGGGAAAGGTACTGGGGAGGTCTCCAGTATAATAAAGCACGCTATATAAAATATCCACGTTTCAGCTGAAAGGTGATTTTCTCCATCTCGCTCTCACGGCCGGGTTGAGCATCCCCACACTGCGGCTGCAAAATT